GACATCTGAACCGTTCTATTGTTTTTAGTTTTTGCCAGTTTTTTCTTCTTTTTTCCACTTTTTTTTAAATAAAAATTTTCTGAAAATTTGCTTTTTTTTGGGGGGGGGGAGGGGGAGCGGGGAGGGGAGGGGGAAGGAGTTTGTTGTTTTTTGTAATATTTTCCACAAATATATCAGTGTAAAAATAACTGCTTTGCTCTGGTTTTTTTTTTCCCCCTTCATCAACCTTCTTAGTCTTGTAGAAATTTTTTTTTTTTTTGAAGAAAACAAATTTGCAAAAACAAATCTGCTTTGGTAAAAACACACAACAAATTGTTGATACCATTCAATAAACCAAAAAAAACAAAAAACAAAACAAAAAAAAAAACTGTGTTGCAATCATCAAATTAGTACAGAAATATTTTTTTTGGTTAATTGATAACTTACCAAACGGTTAAAGTTTTAGTTTTTTTAAGAAAAAATAAAAACTTTATTTGAGCAAACTTTTTTTCATTTAAAACGGGTTGATTGCAAAAAAAAAACTACAGTAATGGCAACAAAAAATGCTACAGATTCTATAAGCTTCAACTGTATGCACAGTAATGCCATCAAATGCAAAAAAAAAAGCGATTTTGACTTCAAAAAAAAAAAAGATTGAAGCCACAAAACTGTAGACAAAACATTGGGCTAAAAAAGCAAAATGCTACCCACAGTTAACCGAAAAATGTTAATGGTGAAAAATTTTTTTTTTTTAGCTAACAGTAACAGTATTCTGTTTATTATTCTTAAGCTTAGAAAAAAAAAAAAAAAGACAAGAATAAATCTGAAGAAATCACCTGTCAACGGTAAATTTTTTGTGCAAAAAAAAAAGAAAAAATACAAAACTATTATAAAATTGTATAAAATGCTGTTCATTTTTTCTTCCAACTACAGAAATAGCAAAAACTGTATTGGCAATTATTGGCAACAACAACTGCTCTACTAAGCATATTCTACAAAACCAAACTAAATACAGTAGTCTAAGACTGTCAAAATTTAAGCCTATTTGTAGTGGTAGTCTGAAAATTTGTTTGAAATTTTTTTTTTGTTGTTGTTGTTGTTGTTGCTAATCAACAGCGGGAATCTATTTAGATCAATCATTTTTTTGATAGATATTCTTATAATCAGTTTGTTACTTTATTGTTCGCTTAATTACAATCAGTAAGAAGTAGAAGATGATAAAGATGAAGAAGAAATGAACAGTTGAATGAAGTTGTATTGTTCTGCTTAGATTCACATCAATCATCATTTTTGAAATAAGCAAAAATGAACAAAAAACATCATTCTATCATTGTAAACTTCCGGAACAAAAAAAATAAAACTTTTTTGCAAGAATATTGGCTAAAATTGTTAGTCGAGAAAAAATGTTTTCACGAAAAAAGGAGGAAAAAAAGAAAGGAAACCTATAATTGTGACATCAAAAAAAAGTAGGCACATTTTAAGATCAGAAGCTCAAAAAAGTTGAATACTGATTGATGTCCTAATACTGCTGTTTATTAGAAACTTCTAAACCTCGTAAATTCTTTTTTCCCCTCATTCTTAGCTGTAACTGAGGATAGCAGCTAACCGGTTCTGTATCGGTATCTGAGTCAAAAAAAAAACTGATTAGTTAATTTGAATACAAATTACAATTTTCTATTTAAAAGCAGCTTTCATTTATCGTAAGTTAACCAACCAGTTTTTTGGTTGTTTTTTTCTCTTTTTTTTTTTTTT